AACCGAACTGTAGCGTCTGTAACCTTCTGAGATTGGCCCGCTCATCAGCAGAGTTCCCCTTCGATCCATTGTGTGGTTTCCTGTATCAGTAGTTTCCTCCCTTTTCACAGCTGAGTTGAGGTCCATAGATAGTTTTTCAATTTGGTCCATGGTCTCACACCAGCCGCTCAGCTCTTCACATAAGTGAATGCCCTGTCCTATCACTGTGCGCCAGTGGGGGTGGGCAGGGGTCTGAGGGGCCCGGCCTCTTAGGTGAAGTTCTGCTGCCTCAGTGGGCCCAGGCTGCCAGGCTGAGCCACACGGAGGCAGGGTCGGGGAGGGGCATGCAGGGCGCCCCCACAGACCTGGCAGCCCACAGCATCTTTCTCCTTCTCTCCCCATCAGTCAGAGCGGCTTCTCTTCCTAACGCTCCGAGCAGGACGTGATTTGTCTGTGTCCCGTCACCGTCCGCTCCGCTGAAAGGGAGCCACTGATGGGAGAGCTCCCTTGACTGCCTGGTGGGCTCGTGGACCTCGCCCCAGGTGATCCCCCACCTCCAAACGAACCCTATAAACAGAACTACAGAGTCCTGGCCTGCCTCAGTGGATGACAGGCCCAGCCCCTACCTCCACAGGAGGGAAGGCCTTTGTGGGGGCGGCTGGAGGCTCTTCGCCCTTTCCCCAGCTCCCCAGCGGTAGCTGGAACCCCTGGTCGGGGAGGGGCATGGAGGGCCCGGGGCTGGGCATCCCCGCTCTTCAGGCCGGAGCAGCTCCCTCAGCCGGACATCCTGCTCCTGGGAGAGGGGCATTTCTGGGAAGAACTCATGCTGAAGGGCTGTTTCTGAGGGGACATGACTCTGGCCAAATCAAGGACATAGCATCCATCCCCTGGCCAGCAACTTCGAAATGAAACAGGCTGCCTTTCTCCAAAGTGCAAAGCCCCAGCCTCCCTGTGGGGCACGCAGGCCACTGACCACGTATTGTCGCAGTCCCCACGCTCCCCAGTCTTGCCCCAGCGGTGTCTTGGGCAGATGTACCTGGATCTCCCTGCTGTCCAGTCCTTACCCCAAGAACCTTTGATCCCCTGGTGCCCCACTTGGAAACTCCTCCCCGTCCAGCCAGGGGTGGGGCGTCACCCTTCTTTGCGACCCACTGAAGCTGAGTACTCAGATCTGCCTTGCTGCCGGATGCTCCAGCCGTGGTCAGATTCATTTTTGTCCCCCTCAGGCATCCTGTCTTCCCCCACCCCCTGCCCCTCGTGGTATTTATTTCAGACCTCCGCTGGGGGCAGCCTAGAGACCCCTCCAAGGCCTGAGGTGGCTGCCCCAACCCATGGGGTCCCAGTCTTGCAGCATGGGCCATTTCCAGTGCCCTTGACCCCTGCCAGTCTAAGAGACAGTTCACTGGCTGAGGCTCCACTCCCCAATCACTAGAGGCTGCTGGTGTAATAAAAGCTCATTTCCACAGAGTCACCGATGGGCTGTGGCCTGGGGTAGAGCTCCATAAACCGGAGCCCCAGTTCCCTTCTAGCCCCCAGGCCTCTGTTCCTTCATCTACAGCCCAGCCTTCCAGAGCGGGTTGGAGAGGAGGGTGTCATAGCTGCACCCCAAGATAATCAGATTCCTGTACACTTGTAAGAAACTACATGAATACAGACAAGTCCTGGCACCCCTACCCAGACTCTTCCAGTGGTAGCCTCTAGGAAAGTCTAATACGTCATCACACCAGGCTGCTGATATTGATACATTTCGCTGATCTTACACTTCCCTTTGTGTGTGTGTGCGCATGCACTTGTGTGTATCGTGGGGGTGCCTGCTCACCGGCTCATTCTTCCTCAGACCTCAGACCCCAGACCAGAGACATGGGCCCAGTGGGGAGTCTGGGAAGGGCCCCCATTCCCCTCTGCCTTGGGACTTGGTGACCCCCACAGTTGATGCCTCAGTGGTCCCTGGCACCATCTGAAGTAGATGGGGAGAGTGGTAGCTGCCTTTCCCCATGTGATGTCTCTCTCCCACTCAGTTCCGAACAGGCTGTCGAGTGAGGGTCACTGGGCTGAAGCTGCCCTCCTCCCGCCCCCAGGTGCACTGGCGATCCCCCTCCGGTTCCCCTCCCACCTGGTCCTAGGGGCTGGGGAGGAGTTAACATCAAATAAGAAGAATCAGGTGTCACGTTAAGAGGAATAGGTGACATCTTGTGGCCAGGGGACAGCAGGTGACTAAGCCCTGCGGCTTCCGATGATGAGTTGCACCAAGGCTTTGGGGAGCAGAACGGGGTGTCCTCAGTGATTGCTCAGGCGACACCTCATACCCTGAAGCCTATTCTGGAGCCAGAAGCTGGGCTTCTGAGAACAAAGACCTGCTAACCAGGCTCCTAGCTGCCTGGGACACCAGGGGATGGGGGACTTGAGCTTCCTCCTGGGTGGGGTCCTCCAGTGGGTCCAGGGCAGCATCAGCCTCATCTCATGCCCACCTTGGACAGGAGGAAGCTGGCTGGGCCCGGGAATCTGCATTTAACCCCTGTCTTGGTTTCCTGGGGCTGCCGTAACCAAGTAACACAAGTCTGGTGACTTAAAATAACACATTTATTGTCCCGATTCTGGAGGCTGGAAGTCTGAGTTCAGGGTGTGAGCAGGGTTGTCTCCTTCTGGACTGAGAGTCCCTTCCAGGCTGCTCTCCTGGCTCCTGGTGGCTGCCGGCAGCCCATGGCGTTCTTGGCTTGTGGCTGCATCACCCTGATCTCTGCCTCTGTGGTCATGGCCTTCTTCCCTACGTGTACCTCTGCGTCTTCTTATGAGGACATCAGTCATAAGGGGTTTAGGGCCCACCCTACCCAAACATGACCACCTCTTAACTAATTACACCCGCCAAGACCCTCTTTATAAACAAGCTCATTAGAGGTTTCCAGGGGACATGAATTCGGGGGACTCCATTCAACCTAGTACAACCCCTCTTTGTCACCCTGCCTCCCTGAGGGGCTATCACACGAGCGATGAGGACCAGGTGCCCATCCCCGGGCTGCCCCCCTCCCTGGAGGCCATGGTTGCTCCTGGCACCCGGCGGAGCAGCGCCTCCCGTACCTTGTCCCTGAACTCGGCTGACACGTAGTAGTAGATGAAGGGGTCAACGCAGCTGTTGAGGGTGCTGAGCGCCAGGCTGGGCACGTAGGCGGCATACAGGTTCCCCCAGGCCTCCGGGCCTGGGTCTGAGTAGTGCAGCAGCAGCAGCATGTTGCTGGGCGCGAAGAAGGCCACGGCTGAGGCCAGCACCAGTGCCGTCAGCCTTAGTGCGTGCCTGTAGCGCTTGCCACTGGCTACCAGCGTGCACAGAGTGGCCCCATAGCCAAGCAGCATGGCCAGCAGGGGCAGGAGGCAGCCGAACACAGCCAAGCAGATGAAGGCAGGTCGCCAGTAGGAGGCCTGAACACCCATGGGCAGCGCGTCATGGCAGAGCACACGGTCTGAAAGCGACAGACGGAAGGTCTGCTGCTGCAGCCCCAGGGGCAGCACCAGAGTGACTGCCACCAGCCAGGCTGCAGCACAGAGCCCAGTGGCCAGGTGCCGGCCTCGCAGGGTGCGGGCCCGCAGTGGGTGCACCACGGCCAGGTAGCGGTCCAGGCTGATGGCGGCCAGCAGCAACATGGAACAGTACATGTGACCATAGAGTGCAGCCGTGTCCAGGCGGCAGGCGGCCTCACCGAAGGGCCAGCGTTGGCCCCGCAGGTGGTAGGCAACGCGAGGTGGCAGGGTCAGGGCTAGTAGCAGGTCAGCAGCTGCTAGGTTCATGAGCAGCACCGTGGACGGCAGCCGAGGCACCCGCGTGGCCAGCACCCACAGTGCCAGGCCGTTGGCAGGCAGCCCCACTACGAGAGCCAGCCCGTAGAGTGCGGGCACCAGCCTTGTGGGAACCCAGCCCAGCAGCAGCTCTCGAGAGTTGTCCCAGAGCTCCAGAGTGTTGCTGTTGTTGGCGTAGGACCAGCCAGGGAAGCTGCGCGGGTGGGGTGGACAAGGGATCGCTCCCTGGGGCCTGGCCCCAGGTCCCGGAGTGCCATCTGGGGAGGAAAGGGGGATGGAGGCACTGAGAACCCAGGCATCACCTCATCCCCATCCCCAGCCTTCAGCCCGTCCCTCCTGCTGGATGATGCTGCCCCCAGAGGAGCTGCAGTCCAGGCCTCTGCTCTCAGGAACCCCCAGGTTGGTGGGATAGAGCTAGACAGAGAAACCTCCAGCCCCGTGGGCTCAGGTCTGGGCTGAAGGGCCTCCCAGTCCCATGTGTCCTCCTGCCCCTCTCCGTTACCCCCGCCAGTCTAAAGACAGCACCTGGGATCACTCACCGTCTCCTCTCCCTGTGCTCCCGCCCTCGTCATAGATGCTGGGGGTCTGGGTGCCACTCTCTTGGCTAACCCCCAGTGCCAGGGGCCACAGCAGCAGGAGCACCCACATGCTGTTGGGGCTGGGCACCGGCTGCTCTTGGTTGTGGCCAAGTGACCTCAGGCTTCTTGTCTGCTGGACCATCCCCACCCCCAGCTTCCTGAGCACAGGCGGAGGAGCAGAGAGGGTCAGCAGACAGGGCCCAGTGAGATAAACCAGCCCCTGTCTCCAGTCAGCCCCTGGGAGGCCCACAGATGACCTATGTTGGCCCGGAGGCTGGGGCCACTTTGTCTGGCAGAGGTGCCTCATGGGGTCCAAGTGCTGGCCCAATAAGATGGGGGAGGAAGTTCTAGGCTACAGCACCCCCATCAACCCCTGTTCAGCTCAGGAAGCCTCTGTGGGCCAAGTGGTCACTTCCTGTTGGCCAGTCATAGCTCTGTTCTTATGATAGCCCAGCCCTCCAGGACACATTTTCCATTAGAGGCTCTTGGCCCTTCCTGAGGCCTCCCTTGCCTCCTGTCTCTGGCGGGAAGGAGGAGAGCCCTGCCTTCCAGAGCAGGTCAACCACCCCCGACACCCCACACACACGTCCGAGCAGCCCAGATCCTCTGTGGGGGCTGCCACACCTCGCTACCTCATCCATGTGCCAACAAGGGCCCCTGGGCAGACACAAAATGAAGTGCAGAGAGGGAAAAGCACCTTTCCCTGGGGGCTGCTGGGAATATCCGAGGTGTCAGTCCTTAGCCAGAGCCTCTGACACTGACCACACGCTGCCCTGAGGTCTGAGGGGATCCTGGCTGCAACCTCCTCTGGAAGGTGTCTGTCCAGGCAGTTCTCGAAGTTTTTTCTGCTCTCTTGGCCCCACCTCAGCCTGGGGTTCCAGGTGTGACTGGGAGGGATGGTCACATCCATATCTGAGCCCATGGAAGGTGGCGAGGCCCAGCACAGGCCAGAAGACCCCGGAACCACGCCCCGCCCCGGGGCCCTCTTTCCTCTTGCCCCTCCACGTTCCTGCCTGCAGATGGGGACCCACTATGCAGATGAAGAAATTGAGGCTCGTAGGGGAGGATACTCCTCTCCTGCAAACAGACCCTACCCATGCCCCTCCAGGCCCAGAGAGGCTTCCGCTGTCCTGCCTTAGGGGAGCTCTACATGGGGGTTCTCGGCCATGTGTGTGCATCGCTGAGCCATGGTGGCAGGGGGTGGATGTCTGGGAGCAGGAGGACCCTGAAGTGGGTGGTGGGGGTCAAGGAAGAAGAAATGAATTAGGGGTGGTAGAGGGGGTCATATGTGGTGTGTCTCAGCACAGCAAGCCCTAATCTAGTCACACACTCTGGGACCAACAGGAAGTGACAAAGCAGTCTGGACAGTGTGACTGGAGGCTGAGATGCTGAGGTCCCTGACCATAGCCCCAGGGTTGGGGGCACTGAGGCTTAGCCAAGAGACTGTCCCCAATTTCTGAAGTTTCCACTGGCACCAGTGACAAATTCAGCCCTACGCCTATGTCTCTGGGCAGTGCACGATTGACGATGTCCTCAGCGCCGCGAAACCAGGATGGTGGCTCCTGCCTCCCTCCAGGAAACCTGTGCAGGGGAGACTGGGGGCTGGAGGTGCTGGGCCGGGGAGAACTGCAGCTCCCGGAGGGCGGTTTGACTCAGGTGTTCCGTGTCCAGGAATTTATGTCAGACACACGTGCAGGAAGGTGTCCATACAGGGATGTTCCCAGCAACACAGGGCTGGGGGGCCGGGGGCCCATCAACAGTCCCCCCACCCCATGGACACAACCCTGTGCCGGCAGGAGGAAGGGTCTCCACGCAGGGCAGGTGGAGGTATAGGCTGCTGTCCTGTCTCAACTGGGCAACAAGCTGTGCAGGGGCACCTCCCGGGGACCCCTGGGGCAACTGCCTTTGGGAAGCGGGACTTGGGCCTTTAACTTCTCTCTGTGCTGCTTTGAACTGTTGGAATTCTCTGTACGTTTGTCATTTTCTATAAAAAAAGGCAGAAAGGTAGCTTTAAAAAAGAAGGGAATTCTGACACATGCTACATGGATGAGCCTTGAAGACATCATGCTGACTGAAACAGCAGACACAGCTTTTCTTAAATGGTGAAAAAAATGGCAAACAGACCCAACTCAGTGGCTAGCCCTGGATTTTGTCACCGTCCAGGCCACTAGGAACCCTGGAAGTCCTGGAAGCTAGTCTTCCCTGGCTGCCCCTCTCCCACCTGTCTGCAGTAGAAGATGGGGTTCTGCAGATGGACCCCTCAAGTCCTTCCAAAGTAACTCTTCTCAGGGCAGCCATCTTTGTGGAATTCGTGTCTGCTGTATTTTGAAGCCCGATGGGCACCCGCGTGTGCCTCCACCTCCCCTCATGTCTAGCCTGGGCCTTGGCCTGGGAGCAGGGATGTTAACCCGCTGGATCGGCCCAAGAGGAGGAGGCTGTGACCCTATCTTTCTGGGTGCCAGTGTTTGAAGTCCAGCTCTCCCAACCCTAGATGTCCAGTTCTTCCTCCCTAAGATCCCCCAAATCCAAGGCTGCTCAACCGTGCCATGGCCTGGACCTCCTGCCCTCAGGGTGCCACTCAGGGCAGCAGGGCGATGCTGGAGGACCTCAGGCAGGGCAGAGTTGGGATTCCTAAGGCCCATACTCATGAGGGCCTCACCCCACACCCAGTCCCTGCAGGCTCCTACCAGGCATGTCTTAAACCCACCTCAGGCCTCCTAAGACTGACTCTAAGTCAGCTTGCTTTCTAGAACAATCAGCCTCATTCTCAGCCAGGAAGTCATGTGTAAAGCGCTAGTTGTACCTTGCAGATAGCCAGCAAGGCTGACACCCCTCTAGTAACGGAGTAATGTTCATCGGGTCCTGTCTAAACTCCTCACCTACTCCCATGCCTCACACACTGCCCCCTGTACCACTCTCGGACAGGAGGGCAGAGCAGCCCGCGCAGTCCTGCAGCTCCTCTCCACACTTGAAGGATGCGGTGGGAGGCGCGGGGTGGTGAGGGAGGGCCGCTGCATGAATTCGGGCTGTCTTTTCACTGTGGCTTAATCCACTGCAGAGGAAGCAACAGGCCTTTATGATCTGGCACCTTCCTTGGTGAGGAGTCCGGGCAATGAGCTTGTCCTTTGCTTAGGACCTCACCGGGCTGCAGTCTAGATGTCCCTGGTTCTGGTCCTCATTTGCATGGTTTTGTCCCCTCCCCAACATGGAGCTGCCATTTTCCAGGAGAGCAGATCCTCTCTTCAGTCACTGTCCAAGAACCTCATCATAGTCACAGACCATTCAAGGCATTCAAGGGCAGGGACTAATGGGGTGCCCACTGGGGCAGGAATCCTGGGACCGTCTCAGAATTTTGCCCACTACAATGGGACCCGCTCCAGTCTGTTCTCCTGGGATCGGCTGCCCTTCATGGGAGCTGCAGCGGCCACCATTTGCACCCCAAGGCCTCTGCCCAGCACTTCCCACCAAGGAAGGCCGGTCCGTGGGCACAGAGGGTCCCTGAGATCCCTCCAGGCAGGAGCACGAGCTTCCTTTTCCAAGCTGCCCACCGCCCCTGACCCCCTGGAGGGGCAGGCAGGTACCACCACGGGTAGTGCGTGGGGGCCGGGGGGCTGCACATGGGCAGAGAGGGTCCCTGGGAGGCAGCATGGCCACTTCAGGTCAAGACAACTCCTGGGAAGAGGACTGGCCAGGTGGGCAGGGTGGTGCCAACTATACTCAAGAATCTGATAGGTGAGTCCTGGCAGTGGGCACTGGGTGGGGCTGGGGGGGAGGTACAAGGGTGCAGCTGAAGGGGACAACCAACTAAGGCCCCTGAGCAGAGCTGTGCGCTCCCTCGTACATGGAGGCGGAGGTAGAGGGGTAGAGGCAGGCCAGGTGGAAGGGGGTCCTGGAGATGTTCAGGGGACAGTGATGGGGAAGACAGGTAGGAGGACGGGGGAGGCCCCCAGGGAGAGCACAGAGGGTGGTTTTGTGGGGCTGGGGGAGCAAAGGCACCCTGCCCGCCTGTCCCTGGGTTTGAGACCTGGCAGGTGCATGAGTAGGGAGAGCTCAGCGCAAACACCTCTTGAAGTTCGGTTTTGTACGCACAACACTAGAAGGAAACATCTCACACTCCTACTGAATATAAAAACTGAATTGTGAATGAATATTCTAGAAAACGTTCCCGTATGGGGACAGGGCACTGCCCTATGGGAAATGTGACACCCCCCCACCCTGCCGCAAACACACACACAGGCGCAACCTGCGAGGATCGTGCACGCGGGGGTTGGGAACTGTCGGGTGCACAGGTGCAGACACTCCCTGTGGGTCCCAGACTCACCAGCCGGGAGAAGCTGCCCTGGGATTTGCCCACAGGAAATGATAACAGGAAATGATGGATGGAACTTCCCAGCTTTAGGTCAATATTTTTAACTTTAATGTGCAAATAAATAGAAAAGGAAACTACATTCAAAACAGCTGCAAAGGAAGTCCAAGCCCCAGAACAGAAATTCTTCAAAAACAGAAGAGAGCTCCCTAGAAGCATGCAGGGTGGGGGCCCAGGGGTCTGGCCCACAGCCCAGGCCCCTTCAGAGGCACAGAGGGGTGGTAGGCTCCCCAGGGGGCCGCTGGGTGGGGCTGGTTCAGGAATTCTGAGGATGAGTTCCTTTCTTACAAAACAAGGATGAGGACAAAACAAGGATGAGGACAAAGTGCCTGGATTACACTCAGAGAGAACATGGGTGGGGGGACCCCGGGAAGGACATGTCAGCTTTGGCCCAGGCCTAAAGTCAAAGGCTTCACAAACCTTGAGTCCACAGGTAACTTCTAGAGTGTTCTAGAAAGAAGTCTCTACTTCCGGGGACCGTGGGTTTGGCACAGCTCAGCTGCAGGAGGGCGAGGGCTGCAGTTAGCAGAGAGGAGGCTGCACAGGACGGTTCTAGGCCCACTGTCCATGGATCCCAGTCTGATGGCGCCAGAGGCTCGACAGGGTTTCTCATGGTGCAGTAAGTTTAAAGAGCTGGTCTCCAGCCCGATGTGCTTGGCGTTCTTGGCACAGAAAGCCTTTTGATGCCTCGGCCCCACATGCTCACACCCTTTCCAGGTGACAGCTGCAGAAACAGCAGTGTCAGGGCGGGTGTGGGGAGGGCTCTCACCCCCCAAGAAGCCGAGTACCTGGCTGTTGCAGAACTTATAACCGCTTAGAGAACGTAAAGGAATAAATACGTGTGTGCATTTACGTATTTCTAGAATGCCCATCTTAGGTACACGACCCCAGCCCAGGGCCCTCCCCGCATGGGCCACTCAAGCATGGTGGGAGTGTCAGGCCAACCCGTCCCCTCACAGACCAGTCTGGCTACCAGATCAACTAGGATTTGGCGTCTCTTTTCGAGAGCAGGGTCTGCTGGGCCATTCTAGTACAACCTGCCAAGCCCACATCTTGACAGTGGGACCCTAACAGTCTGGCTGAAAGGCTCTTCCCACTGTCAGAGCTACAAGCCTGCAGGCCTAGGCCGTCCACTGGCAGACATGGGCGTTGCCCAGCTTGGGAAATGTTTCTGGAAGCTCCCAGAACCGCCTGGGAAGGACATGCTTTTCAAGCAGGTCCACCATCCTGACACCTTCCATGCTGGAGGCCCTTGAACACTGACCCCTCCCAAGGCTTGTTGCCAACTTTTCCAGCCACCTGTGCACCAAATGACCATCATGGCCCCACCCAGGGATTTGGCACCGATGACGTCAGTGCCCAGCAGGTGGGTGAACGCAACTGCTTGCTCCTTGGCAAGCGTGTGAATCCTTCCCTTTCTGGTAGGGGCTGAGGCCCCAGAGTTCAAGTGCAGGGGGTTCAGGTATGGCACAAGATGGGCGCAAAGGAAGCTGGGGAGCTGAGGGGAATGGCAGCATGGGGCTGCAACCAACACGACTCCCTTCTCTGGAGCTGGCTGCCTGTAGGAGCAAGGCTGGGGGATGCTCCGCCTCCCTTAGGTGGTTCACGAAAACGCCCCTGAGGGACACCCAGGCTGAGGAAGCGACTGCACCCAGCTGCATGTCGTGGAGGCCGCGAGGGCGCATCAGGGCGAGGCGGGGCGGCGGCTGTACTGCACACGGTAGCGGGTCACGGGCAGGCCATGCACATGAGCCGTCTCGCAGAGTGTCTTGCAGGGCACCATGTCCTCGTCCTCCTCTCCCATCAGCCAGTCCTGCACCAGGCTGGCTGCCTCCACTGTCACGTTGTCCTCCAGCCAGCGGCCGTGCCACTCCTCAAAGTGCTGGTGGTGCCGAAGCAGGACCAGGGGCTGCACCTGTAGGGGGAGGGCGGGGTGGAGAGCCAGGAGGCCCAAGCACCCCAGAGAGCTGTATGTTGGCCCCAGGTCCTCAGGATGGGGGCCCAGGCACCTCCAGCCGGCTGTGGGCTGGACCCAGGTCCCTAAGATAGAGAAAGGAGGAGTACCTGCTTGGCCCGGCAGAGGGTCCCCCGGCGGTACATGTAGTCCTCGGAGTTCACGATGAACATCATCTTATGGGAGCTGAGCTTGAAGCGGCAGTCCACGTTGCAGGCGCTCTCCACACCCACCAGCCTCTTCCAGGAGCCCTTGGCCTCACCGCGCAGAGCCCGCACTTGCTCGCACTGCCACCTACGAAACTTCTTGAGGTTCCTGGGGGCCAGAGGAAGATTTGCAGACCAGGAAATCCTCGGCTAGACTTCCCAGGGGTCAGAAAGATGCAAATCGAAGCAAAACACCACCACCTAAACCCTTAAATCCAGTGAAAACCAAACCCAGTCACGCCCTGCTGGCTCCTCCAACTTGCTTTCTTGGTCCATCCAACAGAGGAACCTCTTTGCCCAGGATCTCCTTCTCTGTCTCCACTCTCCCCGGATCTGGTCTACTTTCCTTCCTCAGTCCCAGCCACATCCCTCCCTCCCTCCTTGCTGAGACACTGTCTTAAGGACCCCTCCCCCAGGTTAGCCCCCACCTGGCAAGTGGTCCCCACCTGAATCTAACACCCACCAACAGCTTCCACTGATCTTAAAGTCCACTGTCTGAACCTAACCTGAGATGAGATCTGGCTCTTCCCGGTCCCGGTCTGGGGTCCCATGAAGCCACCACTCCTGCCTCTGGCCTGATCCCTGCATTTCCGGTAGCTTCTCCCTCGGGGGCCCTCACCCCCTCCTCATGGCCCTGAAATTACTACTCTCCTCACCCCAGACCTCAGGAAGACAGGGCCCCACTCGCACATATCAGGCTCCCAAGAAATGATCCCAGATGGAGGAAACACTGTCACTCAACCCCATTCAAGATGGGGGTCTTCCCGGAGGACCCTCTCACCTCTGTAGGAACACAGGCTTCAGGAGGAAGCCCTCTGTGGGTGAGTTGGATGCACCCTCAGTTCCCACGTACTGTTCCACGTACCGAGCCAGGTGCTGCGGGGACAGAGGGAGACAGCCATGACTCCCCCGAAAATCAGGCCTCATGGCCAGGACCGAGCTCAGGGCTCCCTGGGATGTCATCCACACTCGTTCTAAAGCTTTAGGGGGATGGCAGCTGGTGAAGACCCCGACATGTAAAGGAAACCACCAGACTGCAGCGAGGGCAGGACGTGTTTAGGAGAATTCTCTGCTGTGTAATGACCTTTCTGTATTCGTCGAATGGGAAGTTCACACGGGGGATGGAGGCCCCCACGAGGAAGACAGCGAAGTCCACGAATGGACGTCAGAATACCAACAATAGTAGGAAGAGGGCAAGACCAGGTTGAAGGTGGGGGCAAGCAGAAGGTGGGGCCACCCAAGTCCCGAGTGGGCATGGCTGGTGGTGTCTAAGTGACCCTTCACTGCTCACCACCCCGTTAAAGCCAGAGGTTGACAAAATCATACATGCTGGAAACTTCCAAAAGTGGATGGCTAGGCAGGCCTCCACCCTCGCTTGTCTTAAAAAAGATTTCCTGCGTGAAGCAGGCAAGGAAGACTGCTGGGAGGAGAGGTCCCTTGGCTGTGGTGGGTGGCGGGGCAGGCCCTGCTCCCAGGTGTGCGAGGACAGCCCTGTCACTGCACCGTCGTGCTTGTCCAGAAAGAGCCCGGAGCAAACACGGCGCCTTGGCTCCCGGTCCACAGAGCTTAGCTGCTTGACTCAAGGCCAAAAAGGCAGCAACAGAAATCATATTTTTGATGTCTTTACTTGGTTACACACTGACTCCAGAAAATGTTCTGATGTAGTCAAGTGTGAGGGGACTGTTGTATTTTGTCTGGGACAAAACAGTTCCTGGTATGTGAGACTTTTGGTGATAAAATCGGGAATATCCCAGGTAAATTGGGACGAGCTGTTCACTACTGTGGGTTGGACTGTGTCCCCCAAAAAGACCTGGTACCTGTGAATGTGACCTTATTTGGAAAGACTGTCTTTGAAGATGTAACCGAAGTAAGTTAAGGTCACACTAGAGTAAGGTGGCCCCTGAATGCCTGGTGTCCTTATGAGAAAACAGAGACCAAGGGGAAACGTCTACTCTAGTGGAATATGCGACTCAGAGTGTGGGCCAGGAGGATGTTCTGGTGATTACGGCAAGGGACCTGGAGCCCGGAGCTTTACGCATGGGGAGTGCAAAGGTCACACAACTGAGTGACCATGCTGGCCACGGGCTTGATGGGGATGTCATAGTGTCTGCAGCAGGCGGGAAGAGCCAGGGTTTGGGGGAGGGCAGCCTGGCTCTCACACAGCCCTCCCTGCTCTGGGACACACCTTTAACCCCTGAGGGCTTGTCTGCAATTCCTGCCCAATCTCGGGCTCGCATGGAGAGTTTGTGGCCTGTGTTCATGTACGTGGCTCTTGGGGTAGGAGCCCCACGATGCTGCTCATGGCTGCCCCCAGCCCCTCAGCATGCACAAGGCAAAGAACCTAGTGCTATGGTCCTCACCTGAACCTCCACAGGGTCCTCTGTCTGGGCCTCCTCAGTGTCCAAGAGCTCAATTGTCATGATCACCTGCCCTTTACGCTGGAGGAACATCACCTAAGGAAAGAGGCGGGGCCAAAGCCTGAAGACAAGAGAACAGCCCAGCCCAGACTGACACAGAAGAGGTCGAGAGGTCATCAATAATCCGATTTCACCAGCCTCCAGGCCTAGATCCTTCCTCTGGGAACCATGTGCTGGGCGCCCACCTCACAAGCCCTGTGGTGCCCTCTGACGTGGGGGCCAGTATTAAGAGGCCCAGTTAAGGACGTGCTGGGTATGGGAACAGCTGCAGCAGAATCACGATCTAGCCCAAGCATGCACTCCGGGACCCAAAACAACGGCTGGCCTCTTCCTATTGTGGGAGACCCCCTTGCCTCCCCACCATCACATGGCACCAAGCATGGCTGGCCTCTCACCTTAAAGCAGTTCTCGTCGGCCATGCACCGCTCGGCCTTCCACTGGTAGCTGGTCTCCCTGGCGGCGCGGACACAGCGGGAGGACAGGTTCCCGCCAGCAGCGCCCCGCTTCTTCTCGTTCAGGTAGAGCTCCACCACCTTCAGACAGATGTCGTCGCTCACGAGGTGGTGCAGCTGGTTGGAAGAAAGAGCTGGTGGGTGCCCTGGCTGTGCGCCCCCCAACCCCAGGGGCGAGTGCAGCTGCCGCTCGTACTTCCTGCTGGGGCTCCTGCCTCACCCAAAGAGGACAGGGTAAGGTCCACGATGTGAGGTGAAGGTCAGGAGCCGACAGTCGACATAGGGTGACTTCAGCACAAGGTACAGAGTAGAGCAGACGAGAGCGAACCAGATCAGATCAGACTAAACTAGACCAGACCAGAAAACATGGACTAAAGCAGAGCAAACCGGCTCAGAGCAGAGCGGAGCAAACTGGACTGGACCAGCGAACCCTGTCTGGGTGTGAGAAACACGACTAAAGAAGGAAGAAAGTGAAATCGTTCTGAAACAGGCAATGATTAACTGTCGGAGAGTAGTGGGAGGGCACTTGGTTATTTTCCCTAAATGTTCAGCTATAAACGCAATGAATCCCTTTAATTCCTACAAAGACATTTAAAACCCTTAGGTTTAAGAAGAACGAGCAACAGAAATGGCCAGGGTGCAGGCTCAGACGGCGCCACTGTGAGTGGGCCCCACCTGTAGCCAGACTCACTACTAGCCTCGGGGACCTGGGCTTTTCCTGGAGCGTCGCTTTGCTGAATGAATACAGTAACATGTGGACGCACGCGAGTCTCATAGAGTGCCTGGCACACGGCAGGTTCCCAATAAACGTTGGCTTCTGTTATTGAACAAATAACACTAATAAAAATAAAAAAAGCAAGGAGCATGAATACAGCCCCTCCAAGACAAACTACAGTGTCGGCGTGGAGGGGTCCTGTGAGTATCTGGTCCAGGGCATGTCCAGCGGGCTCTAGTGGAGCCGCGGCTGGGTCCCCAGAGCTGTAGCCCCTTGTGGGCAGACATGACCCCAGCCCGGGGGGTACAGCACTCAGCCCTGAGGTGTCTTGAGTCACTACTTCCAAAAGTTGTATGCAGGGCCCCATGCCTGCTTCCCCATCAGCAGGCCGTGGTGGCCACGACTGTGGATGGTGACAGGGAGGGACAGAGACCCAGCCCAGCATGTAGAATGAAACAAGAAGGTTGATGAAGATAAAAGTGTTAAGTATCAGAATAGACCTGTCATTTTTGATGTGTCTTTGTAGCCAGAAGACTCGAAGCTTCCCATTCATCAATGAGAAATATTGGCAAACGGCGTGGACAGGCTCTGCACAAGCCAGGACGTCCAAACAGCCAGAGGGACGAAAAGGTGCCAACCCCATAAGCCATGAGGGAAATGCAATGTAAACCACCACCCCTCGGCCCAGGACAGACGAGACAGATGAGAGAGACTGCCAATCCCCAGACCTGGGAAGGATGCAGAGCACCTACCAGGAAACCAGAAGCTTCTACCCCAATGGGCAGGCCCGCCTACACATCACCTGGGGGAGAGGAAGAAACGCCCAGATGGCCACCAGGAGATGTGCAGTGCTGCTCCAAGGGCCCAAATGGGAGCTTGTTCCCTAGAACCTTTTGAAGGCCAGGATAAAGGAGCCATGGGCATCTCAACAAACAGGAATGTCGCATAGTCATGCTACCTGACACAGCCAGCTGGGTGGTGTGCTTCCATTTACACACAGTTCAAGACCAGGGACGCAGTCTCAGTGTGAGAAATTAGGGCGGTGGGTGCCCGTGACGGGGAGTGGCTGGGAGGGGTTGTGGGTGAGGTGTCTGTATGTGAAGACCCACTCGACCTCACACTTTACGATTTGGGACTTTTCTGTATGTGTGTTCTAAATCAATAAAAAGTTTCTCAAACCTGGAAGGAAAAGCCTCTTCTAGCATGTTCCCAGTGACTGTATCTGGCTGGGAGATTAATGACGTTTTGCTTTTCCTGGCTTCTCTTCCCCTTTACAGTGAACAGCCTTACTTGATAATCAGGAAACAAAAGTCGAGTTGAAGAAAAACAACTCCAGCGGTTATTTGAGCAGGACCCATGCCCCAGGACCACGACCCATGTCCCAGGACCACATCCGACCTGTCTGGGGCTTTGCTATTTATATTTACATAACTGGTTTCTTCTCTTTGACATTTGGGTCTTTGACATTTGGCTGTGAGCAATGTTTTGCTACTATAAATGATCCTAAAGAATGGCACTGATATTCCCCCCACCCCCTGTGGAGTGGGCTAAGACTATACATTGCCAAATTACCATCACAAAAGGTTTGTCAGCAGGGACTCAAATCCCAGTAAGCCATGTTCACAGCAGCCTTATCCAAATCACCCACACGTCCACCCACAGACAAATGGATGAACACAATGTGGTCCACCCACAGTGGAATACTACTCGGCTGTAAAGAGGAATGAAGCACAGACACACACTATGACATGGATAAATCCTGAAAACAGCATGCTGAGTGAGAGAAGCCAGACACAGAAGACCACAGAGTATATAATTCTGTGTATGTGAAATGTGTAGAACAGGCAAATCCATGAGGACAGAAAGCAGATTGGTGGCTGTCAGTGGCCAGGGGAAAGGGATAGGGAGTGACCGCTCATGGGGATGGGGTCTCCTTTAGGGGTGATGAAAACGTGCTGAAACTAGATAGAAGTGGTAGTTGTACAACACTGTGAATGTATTAAATGCCACTAAATTATTCACTTCAAAATGGTTAATATTACATTAACTGAATTCTATCTTGATTTAAAAAGAAGCTACTGACACAAGGCCAACTATACAGCATGAAAGTGACACAAGGGCCAGTTTTCAAAGTCGGAGACAGGTAGGGAGTTAAGGGGAGGGGCTGCTGCCCCATGTGCCAGGCCTCCTGCTGCCCTGCCGGCCGCCGTCCCTGGCCTGCTCACCTGGCGTGCGATGCTCTGCACCAGCTTGTCCATGGTGAAGCCGACGTAGGCGTGAATGGTGAACATTTCACGCAAGGTGTCCTCGTACTGCGCTGGGTCGATGCTGCCATCCAGCAGGCTGCGCACCATGTCCAGGAAGGCTGGGTAGTACTCCTCCAACTCCACCTCACCTGGGGACGAGCAAGAGCCAGGTCACTCAGGGTCACGGCCATGAGGCCCCCACCAGGATGAATGCAGAATCTCCAAGGAACTGGGCAGCCCATGTTCCCCACCATCCGCTACAGATTTCCTAATGTCGGCCTGTGGCGCCAGGACAGAAGCTTGGCTGGGCGGTGGTTCCAGCATCCAGGCTCAGAGGAAAGTACCCAGAGCTGTGTGCCCAGGGAAGGCAGGCAACAAGGACTAAGGCTGTGGTCTGGCGATGCCAGTTTCTTGGTCCTGCTATGGCACTACAGCCAGTAGTATCACTACTGGGGGAGTTCAAGACTACTATTTTCATGACTTCTCATTTGAAATTTCTCATTGCAGACAACGTAATTATTTCAAAATGGAAAATCAGAAAAAATGCAAGGGACATTTCTGATGAGAAGCTATGAACTGAAACCCCTGAGGCCCGTGCAGGCAGCCGCCCATCTGCTAGCACCGCGCGTTACCCCCGGGCTCTGGCAGGGTCTGGGGGGCTCACTAGGCTGCTTCAGCCGCAGCTCCATGGCGGGGTCGTTGCCCTTTTCCCGACGGCCCTCGCAGAGCAGCTTCTCCCTCTCTTTCTCAGTCCGATACTCCAGGAGCTGCTTCTGTGCCTGGCGGTAGATCTTCAGGAGCCGGGAGCACAAGGTCTGGTGGAGGCGCAGGAAGAAGTACCAGTTGTTGTTGGCGAAGAAGAGGCTGTAGACGTCATCCAGGGGCTTGTGCGGTGGTGGTGGTGGCGGCGGCAGCTGCTGCTCGGCGGCAGGACCCTCGCCTGCAGCCCCCTTCTCCTCTGGGGGGCTGCTCTGTGGCCCAGGCGCCAGCTTCTTTGGGTCACTGGGATCCACGCTCTGCCCTTGGGGGCTCCCCCGGCCTTCGTCAGCAGAGTCCTCCGATGCCCCCAAGTCCAGTTGCTGGGAGAAGAAGAGGCTGGGCACGAACTGGTGCACCAGCTGGTGGATGGTACCCTGGTCCTCCTTCTGGATGGCTGGCTGCCGCTTCACGTAGTAGCTTATGAGCGCAGCTGCATCCTCCAGGATCTGCCTGTCCTCGTACACGAAGATAAGGTGCGGCTCGCTGGAAGGGGCGCTGCGGCCTTCCGAGTGCTGCTCCTGGTGCTGGGGATAGGGTGGCTATCAGGCAGGAATCGACCCACTGGGAGAACACAAGATGGGGACCTAGGACTAAGGGGCTCTAATGGTGTCACACTGCCCAGGACCAGAATGAGGCCAACTTCCCTCCCACAACCTGGAGCAACATCTAGAGACTGAGGGATATGAGGGGAGCAGAGCCCCAGTTACCCAATTCTGGCTGACCCGGGCTGCCCACTGCAAGCTCTCCATGGGGATGAGGAAGGTTCAGGGTAGACCCTGGGCCTCATTCGGGGCCGCTTACACTTACACACAGCTGAGGACCAGGGGCTCCATCTCTGTCAGATATCAGGGCAGTGGGTAATGCCTAACCTCAGCCCTTCACGCCTGCCGCCAGCCCTTCTACGGTCCTCCTGTCGCCCAGCACAGGCCTCCCACCTGCCTGCTCCCACCAGTATCCTCACTGAGTCCTGACCAACCAGACCAATTTGGTCAATAGGAGCACAGCCAGCGCTACTACACCCCTCCAGGCCCTCCCACACTGCTCAGCAGGAGACCCAGCGCCTGGTATGCCACCCCGCAGCCTCAGTGCTTCACAGACCTGGTATTCTTCCTCTGATGCTTCAGGGGCACGGAGTTCTGTCCTGCCATGTGCAGGATCTTTGTAAAAACCTGTCTGCTTTTTCTCCCTAGAGAACGTGTCTCTGGATTCGCCCTTCCCCTTAGTCTTTACCTAGCTTAGTGATTTTTTTTCTTGAAAACCTGAAGATAATCACTACTTCCTCCAGACTACCTTGAGCTGCCTGACAATGTTAACCACCCCCCCACCATTATGGAGGGCTGCCTAGGCTCTTGAGAAAAGTGAGATGGATGCCATCCCTGCAGGTAAGACCTCCTGAGGGTAGCGCTTGGGCCTCCCATGCTGTGTCTTGCCCCTCATCAACCAAATGCTTCTTTCCCCTTTGCACCCAGGGGAAGAGCCAAGGAACTCAGTGGTCTTTTGGGCCATATCACCACCCCCAATTTAAGGATGTACTGCAGACCCCAAGACCTTGAGGATGGAGTCAGGGGCCAAGGGGTAAGCGTGCCCTAGGGGTATCTCAGGGGTGTGTCTCAGGGGCCCCCAGTTGTGCTGCTTAAGAGGCTAGAGGCTTGGGCTAGTGGCCTGGCTCCTCTGCCTTCAATTTCCACACCATAAGAGGAGGTAAGAGGAGGTACAACCGTTGGCTGCTGACATGAAGGATAAAAGAAAATAAGTGACCCTGCTAATGCAGGTGTTTGGTCATTGATGCTGTCCCGTCTCTGTGACCTGGGCATGGCCCAGGAGTAGTGCCCCTCCCTCGCCACTCCTTGGAGCTCCAGCTGACCTCCCTAATGGCCACATCCAGTGGCCTTCACTGCCCAGCCAGACCTCCTGCCGCAGGCTCTTGTTAGTAACTTTCTCCGTGTATTTTTTTTCCCCTGCATGCGTTTTTCAAAGGCCCAGATACTTAGAGCCCAAGAGACGGGCTCTGCCTGTTTTGTGGTTTGGGACTTGTGAGCCTGGACATTCCAAGACTGGCAAGAGGGCACGGTGCGGGGGCTGGAGGCAGAGCCCTGATCTCCTGCAATTAGCCTTGGCAAGTGGCCACCTCTTGTGTCTCGATTTTCTCATTGCTAAAATCTGGATAATGGTACAGCATAGGTTGGTCTGTAGGCAAGGGTTATATGGGATGCTCCTCCTGGGGGTTCTAACGCTGCCTGGCACATACTGGAGCTGGAGAAAGCTGGAAGTGTCACACACCTAAAGGAAGGTCCGGCAAGGCCCACGGGGTAAGAGGGAGACCTCGCTGACAACAGCAGAGCTACTGTAGTCCTCCCACAGCCACTCCTAGTCTGGGTGCCACGGAAACATCCATCCTCACCCCTGGGCAGCCCTGTGAGGTCAATGCCACTAACCCTGCCTAACCACTGCCTGGCACTGCCCGAGGCTGGGGTCTGCTCAGACATGGGCAGAGGAGGGCCTCACCTCGTCGTAGACACTCTCGATCTCATTGAGCAAGCTCTTGGAGCGAAGGGCCTTGGTGTCGTTCTGCTTGAAGTTCACGGCCTGGTGGTCCAGGGACTTGAGGTAAGCCTTCTCATACTGCTCCCGCCAGATCTTGTTGAAACCCTGCTGGGCCTCCCGCCACTCCTCTTCCTTGGCCTTCAGCCTGTGGGGACCAGAGGGGCTCAGCACAGGGAAAGTCTGGGATGCCCGCCTGAGTCACCCATGCATAGGACCAGCCTGTCCTACACCCAGACCAGCCATCACCTTCCGAACTTGGGACAGCCAGCTCCCCACCTGTCTAGGCACAGGATTCTGTGTTGAATACAGGAGAGAGGAAGACAGGGAAGGAGGAATCAAAGGATCAAGAGAACCAATGTGGCTGGTTTTATGGTTTTTCAAACATTGCTGCCTCGGAACTAACCTCCTCCCAGTCCTGACTCCCACCACGGACCACACTCACTGTAGCTGTGAGCCTCATGAGGGAAGGGGCCGTGTGGGCGCTGCCCAGCTCTGCAACCCCAGGGCTGTGCACGGCACCTGAGGGCGGCCACTTAACTGATACCTGTTCACCAGCATGGAAAGGCTCCTAAGACATATTACTAAATAAAAAGCAAGCTGTGGTATAAGTCCTACTCTTCATGTTTAGATCTGATTACGTGTATGGAAGAATGAGCTAGAAGGACATGGACGGCCATTAACTGTACTTTCTTCTCAGGAGAAGAACAGGGAGATGAAGGAAGACTGGAAAACCCAGTAAGCCAGCCTGAGGCCCTAGAGACCACCCCCTTGTGATGATGCCCATGGCAAACAGCACGAGATTAGTGAGATCCCAGGGGGCCCCTGTGGTGGGCGGGGCAGCCAGAAGCTGAGGACACCTTTTGAGGACAACAGGGACAGCGGTGACGGGGTTTTTCTTGAGGCTCTCGATGATCTCCGGAGCCTTGTCACCATAGATGCGATGGATGGCACGGCGCTGGATCACCTCCGACGTGCCCCCCAGACAGTCATCCAATCGGAACTTCTCCTGGTCCTCTGGTGCCATCCGGGAAAGCTTCTTCTGTACGCTTTCCAACACCCGGATCGTGGCCAGGTTGGTCTCCAAGACTACGTCTAACTACAGAGAGGGAGACGAGAACAGGTTGGCAGTCAGGGAGGGGGTCAGCGGGGCCCCGGGGAGGGGTTTGGGCCGGCAGAAGGGGTTCTCAGACAGAGCTAACAAACGCCATGTCTGAGCAGGGATGACAGGCATTAGAAAGCAGGGCCCTCACGAGGGTCTAGGGGCCTGACCAAGTGTGGCTGATTACGGGGCTGGAGTCTAGCCAGAGAAGGCAAAAATGCAGGCCTCAGTGCTCAGGGCCTGAGACCGTGGGCTGATCACCACTGGCTGACCCCCTTCACGGGCACCAAGAGCATGTTTTGTTCGGCAATAAAAAGGAAGGAACCTGGGGCACACTTAGCCCCTGGATGGCTCTCGGGGCATGTGCTGGGAGAGCCAGTCCCCAAAGGGTACATACCATGTGATTCCATTTACGACAGTGAGAAAGACAGAGGACAGGTCAGTGCTGCCAGGGGTCAGGGCTGGGGTGGGGCCAGGAAGGAAGTGTTCGGCTATAAAGGGCAGAACAAGGGATCCCAGTGGTGGGCAGCTGTTCACTATCTTGGCCGTGGTAGTGGATACGTGAAACCCCACAGATGGGAGAACTGCACAGAGCTGAATATACACACATGCCACACATGCAAACAGGCACGCACACACGAATACAGTCCAACTGGGCAGATGTGTCAATGTCACTGCCCCAGCTGTGATACAATGACATAGATTTACAACTGTTATCGCTGGAGGAAGGGAACCTCAATTGCTGTGTTATTTATTATGCTGCATGTGAACTTTCAATGACATTAGTAAAAACTTCAAAAAATTAACTTAAGCTAACTTAATTTTAAGTAATTAAATTCAAATACACTTTACACTTTTTTTTTTTTTTTAAAGAACAAAAGTACCATTGCCTGGCCAGCCTGGAGGAAAGCAAGGCAGAAAAGGACTTGTCAGGGAAACTGCTAGAAATCCCTGATACTCGAAGGGAGACTCGGGGTTTAAGCAGGGGCAGGATACATTCCAGGGTGGAGAGGGAGATGAGCAGAAGAGAGTGAGAAGGCAGTCCCTTGGAGGAGTGGGGACAGGCACACATCTTGGGTCACTCCCATCCTGGCTAGGACCCAGGCCTGCTGGGAGGGCCCCGCAGTGCCAACACACGCACCTCAAAACGCTCATCCTCACAGCGGTGCAGCTGCTCCTCGTAGGGCGTCTTCTTGGAGCTGACGAAGGTGGAATCCTCTGACCAGGAGGGGAAGGAGACCCAGGTGTCATTCAGCACCTGCACCAAGGAAATGCAGTTACCAGTATGACAGACCCCAAGGGCTGGAATTGCTTACTGTGCTGTCCAATGTAGAAGACAGAAATAATATCATGCTGATTTTACAAATAGTAAATCGTACAAATAGTAAATTTAATTTTAAAATGGTCTTAAGAAAAAACATGACTTTGGTCAAGTGAATAAATCATACTCTTTCAGGGACAAACTTTGTAAAGAGCCGGATAAATACTTCAGGTCTGGTGGGCCATGTGGCCTGTCAGGACTACTCAGCTCTGCCTTGGTCCTGGTAAAGCAGCCACAGGCGACATATACAGTAATGCAAAATTTAACTGATAAACACTACCAGTGGGCTGGATTTGGCCCACAGGCCATAGCTTGCTAACTTCCGGACCATACCCTGGAATCCAACAGGCACCCTTGAATTCTGGAAATGCAATTGTCCACTAACCCTGAAGAAATGTTCAGTAGTCAAGCTAAAAGGAAACACACTGAGGGCAGTGAACCCAGGACGGAGAAGGCTCATGGCAGAAATAAAGTTAAGTCAAAATGATGGAGGAGCATCCAAACCCTACACTGGTGCTGTGGGCTCTATGGCTTACCCAAATTGCCAGCAGGATAAGAAACTGTCATCTATGATCAAGTATTTTCTTTTGCCACATCCTAGCGCCACCTATTATTCAACGTTTGGGGAGGTTAACACTCAGTCTTTCATCTGACACATGGGGGTGAGGAGCGTTTCTGTGGGAGGCACTCATGACACAAGCTGATGTGAGCCCTGGGGTGCTACCTCCTTGCAGATGGCCGTCCTCCCGCTGCACTTGGGCTGCTGATAGGTTTTAGGGAGTGCTCGGTAGCTGGATCCAATGCGCTTGCAAGACGCGTAGTCAATTTCCCGGCTTATTCCGTCCCCAGATCTGTCACTCATGGGTGGGGCGAATGACAACTCTTTCACCCCAAGAAAGGACTTGAATTGTGCGAAGAGTTCTGGAAATTTCCTTCAGAAATAAAGACAAATGAATGGTAAGTCAGCACCCCTGGGGCTTTCGGGAAGTGATCTAGGGATTTCAGAATGGCTGTGTAGATGCCTGCAGGTAAAGATGGCCAGATGTAAGGTCAGAGAAAGGCAAGGGGTGGGACCCAGTGTCAGATGTGCATAAAGTCCCCACTTGGGAGTGAATCCGACCCCCCAATGCTCTGTCACCAGCCAGGCCCCACCACTTGCAGGACAGCCTTGAAACATACTGGAAAAGACAACCTAGACTGGCAGAAGCGGGTCAGTGATGTTCCTTGACTGAAAGAGGGAGGGGGTTGATCAACTATGGCCAACCTGCCCAACCCTGTCTTTGTAAATAAAGTTTTATTGGCTCAGTGAGGTCCATTCCTGAATCACTGTTTGTGGCTTTTTTGCACAATGTTAGAGTTGGGCAGTCCTGATCCTTGGCCCTTGACAGATAAAGTCTGCCAAGCTCTGCTCCAGAGCCCTCTGTCCCCATGGGAGACTCCTCCTAGAACCACCCACATGGATACATTCTCATGAGTCATAATGTATGTTGATGAGAAGTTTTTCAAGTAATTCGCCCCAATGTCACCTGGATTCAGGTTTAAATAAATATCAAATTCTACTGAAAGGGTATAGTTACTATGACAGCTGGCATGGTGATCCTGCTGTGACAGAGCAAGGCCGTCTCCCCTGGGGTGTCTTTGGGGCCAGAGGTCACACATGGTCGTGTATAATGCATGCTTGCCATGTTTCAGATTCTATTTTAAGGGTTTTACATACAGAGCCCACGTGGAGCTTTCTGAAACTTGAGGTCAGACTGGCTAAGGAACTTGCCCAAGGTGACAGTCCTGGTGAGGGGAAGGCAACGCTGGGACCCGGCCAACCTCCCCACCCAAAGTGCACTGTGTATGAACTGTGTGTGCGCGTTCACCTCCCAGAATGCCCCTGCCTTCCCAGCAGCTGCCTGCCCCCACACTGCAGCAGGACATGCTGGAAGCTGGCTGCTGACCTGCTGACAGGGTTTCTCTCTGGGCAGCTGAGATGCTAGGCAGAGATGTTCATTCTTCCTGAAATTTGACTGTTAGATAAATTTTAAAAGCCTATATTAAGAGAACCTCCAGGGTAGAATTTTAAAAGCCTATATTAAGAGAATCTCCAGGGTAAAATTTTAAGCCTGTATATTAAGAGAACCTCCAGGGTAAAATTTTAAAAGCCTGTATTAAGAGAACCTCCAGGGTTTTACGCCGAGTGGAAAAAGCTGATCCCAAAAAGGTTACATACTGTATTATTCCATTTATGTAACACTTTTGTCATAGAAGTGTTAGAGACAGAGTGCAGCTGAGTGGTTGCCAGGGGCTGGGGGCTAGGCCTGGGACAGGGAGAGGGAGGGACACAGGCGTTGAGTATCAAAGGTCAGCACGACAATCCTTGTAGTTCCATAGCCGTTGAGTATCTTGACTGTGGTGGTGGACACATGACCCTTCCAGGAGATACAGCTACACACACACATGCACGCACGCACGCGCACACACACACACACAGGTACACATGCACACACATACACACACAGGTACCAGAAACAGAGAAACCTGCAAAAATGGGTGGGTTGCCCAAATGCTACCATCCTGGTTGTGGTGCTGACCTCAGGTGTTACCGTGGAGGCGGGGGAGAGAGAGGGGAATGAGTCCTACAATCTGTTTTCTTATAACTGCAGGTGAATCTATAACAATCTCCGTAACAACTTTCATTTAAAGACCACATTGAATAACGCACCTATCCAAAGCAGTGGCTTAAAGAAGGGTGGACAGAGTTTACAAAAACAAATCCCACGTGGGGAGCCCGAGTACTGCTCACCCTAGAAAAGGGCTGACGAGTTGGAGGAGCTCTGAGCCTGACACGAGCTCCTGGTTGAAGAGTGCGATGCAGCGGAGAAAGTTCTCGTAGACCTCCTGGCTCTTTAGGACCCTGCGCACCTGTGGAGAGAGTGAGTGAGGGGCCTTGAGGCCAGGCCCAACCCCCACTTCCTCACCCAATTGGTTCAGACATCACTAGGTGCATGCAGAGTTACCAACATGGGCGTGCTCTAAAGTGACTGGCTGTGGTCTGCAGGGCAAGGCTCTCCATGCAGCAATTCGCAGTTCAGACAGCATGTGCACAGGCCATCTTGCTGGCTTGGCCCACTGACCCTGGGTGGGAGTCCCAGGACCATCCCTACTTTAGAAAAGCCACACAGCTGAGGAGCAGCAGACATGTGTCCTCAAACCAGGCTTGGGTCCTGAGCTCTGCTGCCTCCTGCCCACCAGTGGCCCACAATCCCTTCCACTGTGAAAACTAGTGCCAGCCCCTCCTCTCACACCTACCCAAGGGCTCTCCTTCCCTCCTGCTCCCTTCCCAGGAGCTCCTGCCCTGAACATCTGAGCCCATCTGAGCCCCGACAGTCACCTTGTCAAAGAAGGAGAACTCCTGTAGAGTCCCATACTTCCCCACAGCAGCGATTGACAGGTCTTTGGTACCACGTAGTTTCATTTTCTTCTGCAGAGAGAAGTGTGTGCCATCAGTGCCCTGTGCACCCCATGAGCAGCCCCCCTCTGCCCACCTTTGTCAGAGTAGAACCACTACCAGTACTGAGCTCTCCCAATGTGAAGTTTCATGGGGGTGCTGGATGAGGTTTACCCTGGACCCCCGTGGATGAATTTCTGAGGACCACCCACCCTGCATCTGAGACCTAGTAAAGGGTGAAGCTCGCATGACCACCCTGCCCGAACTCTGGGATCTAAATCTTGGCAGTTAAGGGCTTTTGATAACAAGTGGGAGCAACAAAGTTGGAATAGCAAGGGAGCTGTGTCCCTGGATACAATATCAGAAATCTCTTTCCTGCCTGATTTGTCCTGTGATGGTAATAGAAGGGCACGAGAAAGGGACAGAAGAACAGCACCAGTGGGATCCTGAAGAAGTCCAGGTTTTAAATCTCTGTGAAGACTTCTGTCTCTAAGCTGGACTAGTACATGAACTTGGCTGCACTCCTGAGGCATCAAGGATGCTATAAAACCATCTCCCAAATGCCTGAAGAATGATGAGGATGTGTCAAGAGAACATAGGAACCAGCCAGAAGGGCTCCACTGGCCAAATCTGGGATAGTCTGGGCATCAAGATAAATTGAGTCATGGATTACAACCCAGAGTCCATGTTGATACAGGGAACTAAATAAGTGGAGATAAAGAGAAAGCTCATCCTTACAGTAGAAAGTCACCTACTAAACGCATAAGGAGTGATGAGATTAGAAAATCACTATAATAGATGATGAATGCAACAAGAGCTGGATCTCAGCCCCTCTCATCCCTCAGAAGGGCACCTTGTGCAGTGACCGGCCTGTACAACTGTACATGGGGCCCTGCTGGAGAAAGAGTCGTTCGTGATGGTGAAAAGGAGCAGATGGAGCATTACATTCCGTTTCTGCAGGAGGAGGTAACACTCCTTACAATAATTTTCTGAGTCAGGGGAACAGATGAACAGCCACCTTAGAGGTGAGCCAACTTCCCAAGATCCCACAGCTGGTGCATTTCAACCATACCAGGGTCCAGACTCAGGCCCTTGCCCCAGGCCAGCTGCCTGGGGTCTCCTCATGTTGTTCCCCAGGTCATCTACAGAGAGGGCCAGGCTTCTGGGTATCCACACACACGGACATCTAGACACACAGCTGATGGTTACCTTGGCCGGTGCTGATACTGGCCGGAGGAGTGAGGGCCGGGAGCGCTTTTTGCTGTGTTCCAGGTTCTTTTCGTGATCACTCTTCTGGACACTGTTCATTTCACAGGGCCCGTTTCCTGTGAACTAAAGACACAAACACAGGAGGTGGTTAGCACTGGAGAGACATAGCCAGGTCCACAGTGCTGATACTCCATTTGTCTGAGTGCACAGAACCGCCTTTAGTTCAGCCCACAGCCCCAGAGATCACTGTTTGCTACAGACCAGAGGCTCTGTCCACACATGTGAGGTGACCCCAGCTCTGGAGATGCTCAGATTTACTGGGGGAGAGACCAGTGTACCCAGATCATCACAGTGATATGCTATGTGGCTGGGAGAAAGCTCACAGAAGGCTGAGATGGAGGATGGGTCCCGACAGGCAAGGGAGGACTCAGGGTAAAACACTGAAGTTGGGCCTTGGTGTGTGGGACTCATCCAGCGAACTACTGATAATTGGGGTCTCGTGTTCAAGTGCACCACAAAAAGGAAAAGTATTTCAGACAAGGGTACTGGCATATGCAAAGCTGCAGCAGCAAGAGGAAGCAGCTGAAGGCTGCTTCCTTTTTATGAATGAGAAAACCCATCCTGGGGGCAGTGTCCTCATTCAGTGGGGGCTATTTGCTGGTCCTCTCAGGCTCTATGCCCGCCATTGATGAACAAGTCAGAGATGCTTGTCCCAAGCAGGGTACCTACAGGGTGTCAGCAATATTTACAAAGAATAGTTCTGGAAAACTCTAAATAGGATTCGCATCAATGTGAACGTGCCAGTAAGCTGGAACAGGCGTGGGAAGGTGGACAGACCGCAGCTTTTCTGCAGGCTGTGGACAGGGCTAAGGAGGCACATAAAATCACCCCACCAAGGGACCTAGACATGGAGACACCATATGAAGGATATGCTATCGCCCCAAGCATGGGCTGGGTGAGCAAGTCATGCAGCATCCAAACAAAACAGCAGCATCTATCCGATTAGAGTGGGCTCTATGTCTCCGTGTCACTGCCAGGGACTGCGTACCTGATACATTGTTACGTGAAAACAGAAAAAAAGAAACCCTAGGGCAGAACAAACAAGATGCCATTGTTTTTTAAAGAATAAACATTTGTTTGCACATGCAGAGGAAATTTCTAGAGGACACATAAGATACCTGTGGGTGCTTAACTCTGAGGAGAGTAACTGGAAAACTGAAGATAGGAAGGGAAATTTACTTTTCATACTTAATACTCTTACCGATACTTCATTTTTTCATGAGCACATACTATTTTATAATAACCGAAATAACAACAATAATGTCCTATTGTTAACTATAGGCCAAACTTGTCCATTAGGGGATAAAATTCTTTGAACAATAGTTATCTGAAAATTCAAAGTTACTCCAAGAACCTTAAGTAGAAAAATTCTCTCATCTTTTTATAGATGTCAGAACAGGTGGAACCACCAATTCCTAAGGGAGGTGGGTGGGTGACACTAAGACACGCACTGAGTGAAATGGGAAACTAAAGGGGAAACCCACTGCTTGCCCAGCCAAGCTTGCCCAGCTGGAAGGACAACATAAGTTAAATATCCCAATTTGCGAATGCTTGAGATAGACCCCAAAGCCCATTTAGTTGGAGGCTATAACAGTCACCATGCTTGGCCTGTTTCTGTAAATAAAGTTTTATTGGCACACAGCCACACCTACTCATTGATATGGTCCAAGGCTGCTTTCACACTAGGATAGAAGAACTGAATCTTTGTGACAGAGGCTGCCTGGCCTGCAAAGCCTAAGATACTTGTTATCTGGCCCTTCATAGGAAAATATCTGCCAACTCTGACCTATGACAAGCAATCAAGTTTAATTGGGACAATATGAAATTTCATCTTTGGTTTCT